GTTCCTCTCTTTAATAATTTGGTTAGATAAACTATTTATTCAACATGCTTATTGATCAGTTACAAAATTTAGAAAAATAAAATTTCTTTAGAGTTATGATTGATGTTGTATACACTGTAAGAAAAATTTATTTATTTAGCTTGCTGGTTGACCATTTATAAAGACAGGAAATCAAAGCTCCTTTGGTGTTCTGATTAATTATTTAAATAAAAGCAGAAAATTCGAGTTTCTTTAGCATACTTCTTGAAGCATTTATAGAAAATGAGGAGTAACATGTTTGATATATATATATATATATGTATATGTCGTTATTAGTTTATAAAAACACGTGTTCCAGCTGTATAAAACTATCTCTGGAAATATCTATGTTTTGTCATGCATTTCTATTTGTACATTCTGTTTTACGTATCTAAATATAGAAGACTTACATATAAATAACTATGATGCATGCAAAGATAAAAAACAAGTGGATCTAAAAGCAGACAACTAACTGTTCAAGTACCCTCATGCAGGGCACAAGAAAACGTGCGTCTATTCTAAAAAAGTAGTATATCTATTCTAGAGAAATATTAATCTATTCTAGAAAAGTTTGCCAGTTTTTAGAGAAATAAATGTGACATTTCAAAAGAGATAAGTATGTCGATTCTAGGAAATTAAGTATGTCTATTCTAGAGAAAAAAGTATGTCGACTTTATAGATTTAAATATGTCGTTTCTAGGAAAATAAGTATGTCTATTCTAGGTAAACAAGTGTGTCGACTTTATAGATTTAAATATGTCGATTCTAGGAAATTAAGTATGTCTATTCTAGAGAAACAAGTATGTCGACTTTATAGATTTAAATGTGTAGATTCTAGGAAATTAAGTATGTCTATTCTAGAGAAACAAGTGTGTCGAATTTATAGATTTAAATGTGTCGTTTCTAGGAAATTAAGTATGTCTATTCTAGAGAAACAAGTGTGTGTCGACTTTATAGATTTAAATGTGTAGGTTCTAGGAAATTAAGTATGTCTATTCTAGAGAAACAAGTGTGTCGACTTTATTCATTTAAGTGTGTCGATTTTACAGAAATTAATAATTATATTCTAGAGAGGTAAGAGTTTTTATTTCATATAAATAAATGTGTGTCAATTCTATAGAAACAGTTTATCTATTATAGAGGAAAGTGTGTTGATTCTAGACAAATAAGGGTTTTATTCTAAATGAATTGGTGTGTATCGTCTAGAGAGGTAAGAGTTTTTATTTCATATAAATAAATGTGTGTCATTTCTATAGAAACAGTTTATCTATTATAGAGGAAAGTGTGTTGATTCTAGACAAATAAGGGTTTTATTCTAAATGAATTGGTGTGTATCGTCTAGAGAGGTAAGGGTTTCTATTTTAAAGAAGTGAGTGTGTGACAATTTTAAATAAACAATTTACCTATCATATAGAAAAGTGCGTGGATTCTAGATACATTAGTGTGTGTTTTTTGTATGTAGAGGTTCTATTTTAGAGAATTATGTGTGTGAATTCCACATAAGTTACTTTGTTTATTCTAGAGAAATTAGTGGATCTGTTCAAGAAAAGTAAGGGTTTCTATTTCACATAAATAAGTTTTCCATTCTAAAGAAATGAATTTATCTATTCTGGAAGAATAAAAAAAACGCGTTTTTTTTTCTAGAGAAATAAATATGTTAATCTTTGTTTGTTTTCCTTCAGGTTATCATTGATAAACCATATACATATTCGATTTAACGACAACTAAAGTTTGATGCATACATAAATTTGCAAGATCCTAAAAAAAAAAAATCCCCAACATATGATTATTTTGTCTTGCTAATCTGCAAACAAATGATGTTAGGTAACTTACCCGACAATAAAACACGCACGTTTTCTACTAGCGAAACTTTTAACGACACTTACCCAGAGATCTCCTTTAGACACTGATACCTACTGCATCTTCTCACTCTCTCCAACAGACCTGGCGATCTACGACTCGCGCCACTGACTAAACTTGCCAATTTCTGCGCGTGGAGCGAGTTGTGAGCACAGAGGCACGTGACAACACGAGCCTCCGGCCTTATTAAGACGTCTTGCAGTTGGTGACGCACATTATAATAATGATCCTAAGAAGGAAAACGAATACTCAAGTAAACAAATCAAAGATTCTCATTTTAGCGTGCATTAACAATAACTGATGCTCAAATCAAGCAGTTTACATAAACTGGAACTAAATATTAACCTAGTAGATAACGTTAGCTCATTTAATATATTGGTTTAGCCAGGAGTACGCAATGCCAAATAAATACATAAAGATAAAAAATTAAAATGCATACTTTCTGTGGTCATTCCAATAACGAAAATAATCTTTATTTCAAAACTTACTGAAACTGGGGAAAAGGAACAGTTGGATACGGTAAAAATGTAAGATAATAGATTTCTCCTGGAAAATGATTTGCATAGACTTCTGCAAGCATAAATGTCCTGGAGTCTAAAGTTATGGTTTTCAATTTTATGAAGGACTAAAGGTCAAGAGTCATAGCTCGAAAAATTCTTGCCAATACTGAGCATTAAGGAACTACTCCTGGATTTTGTTCTCGTTTTATTAAAGACTGTTTCTAATTCCTGCTCTCAAACATGTACGAGCTAAGATAGTTGAGTGCAATCATTAATCACTTCCAAATATTAACCAGGTTAGAAACTCAAGGATAACTATTATAATCATTAGCTATGAGTTTTTAAAACCATATTTCATAAATTGCAATGTTTAACCCATTATTTACGAATATAAAATAGCTCCTGATCAAAAAGTAAGCTAACGCCACATATTAGAATTGAAAAATAACATACTTTTTTTAGGCTAATTCTATATTAAAAACTACCTAGAAGTACATAATGTCATAAATCAATACATAAATAAACTAGAACCTACATAAAGTTAGAATACATTGACTCATCAGTTGTATATCCCTAACTATTAGCGATATTTTCAACCGTTTTAGCTAGACAATCTATATCAAGTGTAGCGTGGTCTGTTTGGTTTTATTCAATTGCCAGTCACACTTAGAGCTCATGAAACTAAGAACATGAATTTCATTAACAACTTGTGTATTCTATTATCTGTGCGTATAGAATATATATATAGTTTTAGTGGTAAGATTAAGGCTTGTTTGTTTGTTTGTTTTGAATTTCGCTCAAAGCTACACGAGGACTATCTGCGCTAGCCGTCCCTAATTTAGCAGTGTAAGACTAGAGGGAAGGCAGCTAGTCATCACCACCCACCGCCAACTCTTGGGCTACTCTTTTACCAACGAATAGTGGGATTGACCGTCACATTATAACGCCCCCACGGCTGAAAGGGCGAGCATGTTTGGTGTGACGGGGATTCGAACCCGCGACCCACAGATTGCAAGTCGAGTACCCTAACCACCTGGCCATGCCGGGCCCAAGATTAAGGCACATAATTTAATTACCCAGCTTTCTTTTAATGCGTTTTCTAAGCACTTTTATTATTCTCTGTTGTAAATATTTTACCAAGGCACAGTATTACGTTTCAGTAATGTTGAATCCAGTACTGCACATTGCCAAAGGAAAGGCTTAACTCACTCTAATAATTATTTTATCCTCTTCTACCCTAACGTAAACTGGAGAGTCTTTTATTCTGGTATTAAAACCTATCTGTAGCTAGAATGTATATTCAGCAAAGAGTTTTGCGTATAATCTGACGTACTACAGATTCATACTTTAACTATTCAGAATTTCGAATATTTATTATACCATTTCAAACTTGGGAGGTTATAACGCTAAAATTCAAGATTCAATCCCAGCTGTGAGCACAGCACAGATAACTTATTGAGCGCTTTGTGCTTTACAACAACCAAACACTTTTAATGGTAAATACATAAAGTTTAAGTAGTCGGTTTACCTGGTTTTCACTCTTAAAAACTTAATGTAATCTTACACCTGGATTCAACTACGTGCATGCACAACAATGTAAGTAGGTGCTTTTGCAGTGCTAATAATTTCTAAACTCAAGCAATACGTTATAGGCCTAATTTTTCTAAAACTACAAGATCAATGCCTAAAAAAATCACCTGCTATAAAATCTGTAAGGGAAATGAAGTTTATGCAGTAATAATACTGTAGAAAAAAATCATGGGAGTTAACATATTTGAATAGTTTGGTTTCCAAGTATAGAAAGATTATGAAACTACGTACATATACCAGCGTTTTGTTCCAATGAAAAAATATTATACTTTAAAAAATATCAAAGTGAG